GGAAACAATGAATTGAGCTATATTCATCAATCCTACGGGGTTAGAGTTGGCTGGAATGACAAGAATGTTGTGGTTTTGCGAAACAGATTGTAGTCATGGTCCAAGAAAGTTTAAATTCTATCCAACAAGTTCAGGTCTTAGACCATGGAAAATGGAGTCCATTGCTTTTGGACGTTTCTCTTAGATAAAAACATAGTACTTTCAGTGAGATATAACAGTTTCAACCAATACAAAGCTGGTTGGGACATGATTAATACTCCTTCAACCTTGGCAAAGCAATGTGGAAAGAGGCTATTGAAGGAGTTAGCGGGAATTCCTTTTGATCGAAGAAAATTGCTTTTAAGGGACATGGATCTAATAAACTTATTCAGTTTTCTTCAAACAGTTTTGTTCAATAATTGAAGCATCTTTCTACAATGGATTTGTAACTAAAATACAGGTTTAAATACATATTTTGATTTTGTTTTCAACTAAGTTATAGAACAGCTATTCCAAGCAAAACCAAGTTCCTTATGCTTGGAGGAGAAGAAGAAAGAAGAAATCGAACCATTTATCCAGAATTCAATTCGACCGAAGAAAACTAAAGCAAAACTCAAGGATGAGTTTTATTCTTAGGCATGATTGTGTTTGAAATTCTCGAAGTTGTATCCTTCTTGTAGGATTGTGTTCAGTATGAACCATAAGTAAGGATTTCGGAAGTCATGATTAGTCTCGTCTGTTTATGTTGATCGATTCCTCCCTATTGGTAGAAACTTGATTGATGTTGGGCATCTGGTTGAATATCCTCATGTGTACAGTGTGATCTTTCATGATAAGAGTCCATACTAATATAGGATCTAGATATCGATTCTTCCATATTCGTTGATTCCGCCCTTTCCAAAAGCCAACAAAATCTCCCCACATGACCTCCTCTTCTGAAGGAGTAGACTCGAACCACTGGAAAAATCGACTTGAGAAATCAGTAGAGACCCCTTGAATAAAATCAAAACTAAATGTTGAGATTCAGCATATCATTTTTGGAGAGTCACAACCAACAAACAAATGAGCATTGTCCTCAATTGCATTTTGAGAATGTGGACATTCTTCTGAGATGGGGACTCCCCTTTTAACCAACTACTTTTTGGTGGGTAGAGCATTCACCAACGGTCTTTAAATTAGTAATTTAAATTTGTTTCAAAGTGCTAAAGCCGCAACGTTCTCCAGGCTTTTATGTTTGTTTTGTAGGGAAGCTGCAAGGTTTGATTATGTCTAGTCCATGCTTTATAATAGCCCTTATCAACTGTATACATCCCATTACAAGTATCCGTCTAAATGACTCTGTCAAGCTCCTGTTTTCTTTGTTGATTCACATAAATTCCTTGTATATGAGTCACCAAAATGGCTGGAAAAATTAAATTGAGAAAACTTGTATGCCACTCACTGTTCTCTAGAATGAGATAAAGTTGGTATCAGTTCTCGGCAGTGAATCTACACTAATAGGAGGCCGACAGTTAAAGATCCGCTGTTAGTGAATTCTAATGTCATGTCCTAAGATAATCTGTCCCTTGAGACTATCCTGTAGCAGTTCAGCACCCCAATGAATGCCTCTGAAACCTCAAAATGCATTCTCAACCTGTTGAAGATGTATCAAGCTTCTCTGCTCACAATATTTGTTAAAAGAAATCGAAAAAGGACTTTCAGGCTGAGTGATGATTTTTCAAGCATTTTTACCTAACAATGCTCGATCTAGTTCTCTTATCGACCAAGGACTCATTCCATAATGTAACTTACAGCTTGTTCTAAGCCTTCCAATGGATGCGTTTGGCTTCATTATCACCCTTCGATAGGAAAGTGAGCTATAGTATAATCTACCTTGTCTAAAATGTAGAACGATAATTTGAAACATTGGCGGATCTACATTGGGGGCCTTGGCCCCTAGTGGCCCCAACATAAGACACCTATTATATATATTTTTACTATTTTAATATAATAAAAATAGATAAGTTGTGTTTTATGCAATTTTTTACTTTTATTTTTTGCTTAATTATATTTTCTTAATTGCATATTGAGTTGATTAAATTTGGCGAACATCTGAAATGAATTTGTACTAATAGGTACTATATGACTAAAAAAATAAATAAAGTTACAAATTTAGTGAATTATAATTATACTGATTATGTATAAATTCTTGTAATAAAATGGTCAGATACATTAAATCATCCAATTGAAATGAATCTTAATTTCTTATTCTATGATTTAGATACTCGTTATGTGTTTGGAAGATTCATTATTTTTTTTTTAATTTTTTTTTGTACGTATATTTGCATGGTTATAAGTGTTTCATTGAAAAATTTTAGCACTACTTAAAAAAGTTTTATTTTGCTTATTGATGTAATAATTGTACAAAGAGTTTTTAGTGATAAATACAATAATATGTGTTTGGGTATGAAAGACTTAACTCTTGAATGATGTTTGGCTTAATTTTTATGCTAAAACAATATTATAGATGCACTTATGCGATGAAAGCGGTTCAAAAACATCAAAATAAGAAAATTCATTGTGATCAACACTATTGCAATATTGTTATGGAATTCTTTTCGATAATGTATTCATGTTCCCTAGTAAAAAGTTGTTCTAGCTAGATCTGCTACTGACTTGAAAACTCCCAAAGGTTAAGTGAGCATTAGGACAAACTAGATTTGGCCAAGGTGACTTGCCCCATTAATGATAACGATATTGTTTTCTAATCCTTGAATTTTGTTTTTAGCTTCGTGGCGAATGCCTCGAATATTTTCCTCTTCATCTGCGTGAAGTCCAAATCCATTCCCAAATATTTTCCCAGTATCCATTCGGCGTTTAAAAATAATTACAAAAAATATCTATATACACTTAATAAGGTCAATACTAGCGTAATATTTATGGTGATTTACGTGTTATTTTGGATGGTATCTATGATAATATTAGTGTTTCATGCTTAATTTGATCATAGGAGGTGCTTTTGACGAAAAGCATGAAAAAGTGTGAATTTTGGAGACTTCAAAACTTTTGTTTAAGAGATTTATACTCATGGGAAGAAGCGGAGTTTTGATATAACACATGATCACGTTGAAGAACGAGCTGGAAATTTCAAGCAGGGACTAAAGTATAAATTAAGAAAGTTTTGGGGGCAAAATATAATTTCTACAAACACTAAGGAACAAACTTCAATTTTAGAAAACTTGGAGGGCAGCTGAGGGATATGGATGAATTATTTACTTATTTCCTAAGTTTTTGGAGCATTAAATTCCTATTCGTTAGGAACGAGTCAAGCAAATCCTTTTTTACATCGAAGGAAGGAAGATGTCCAATAAAAAATTGTGTTCACAATTAAAAAGATGATTCTTTCCATAGAAGTAATTTTTCACTTGAAGGTTACTCCTATCCCTTAAATAGACTTAATGTTTTGAGTCTTTAAACGGGTATCGATTAGTTTTCTTGTTTAGAGATGAGTTGTCAAAATAGTCAAATTTGAAACTTACCTAGTAAAAAAAAGAAAAATAATTAAGATCTATTTCTTCTCCTACTTATTAGGAGAGTTTTCAACCATCCTCCCCTATAAATAGATGAGAAAATTCGGCCAAACCACGAGGTTTTTTTTTTTAAATGTTTTGAAACCTAACTTGTTTGTATTCTGTCCTAATCTAGGTACATATAAGGAAACTGAAGATTCTGACTCAGTCGAAGCTGTAAATGCTGCATCTGTGGTTTCTAGGGGAAATCTTGATGAGTAAGTTTTTTTATCATAACTTAGAGAGTTTTTTTTTTCCAGTGTAAAATTTGTTTCATTCACTCAAGTCTTTCAAAGCAGCATTCAGTACATTGTAAAGAAATTTGCCATACCACATATGTCTACCATTCATTCTCAGTGTTAAATTTGCTACAGCCTGTACTACAACATTTCCTGTTTGATTAGCATAACAATAATTAACCTCTGCTAATTCCTCGATGATTTTTTTAATGTCTTCAAGTAAATGTCCAATGTTGGAAAAATCTTGTCCATCACTGTGCACTTGTTTGATTATATTTTGTGCGTCCCTTTCAAAGTGGAATGAGTGATATCTTGATCTCATGAAAAGATTGAAGCCCTTAGAAGTGTAAGACATTCTACACGCTACACGTCTGAAATTTGCTCCAAGTGCTCCACAAACACCTTCAATTTCATCCTTATTTTTTCGATATATAACTGCTCCAAATCTAGTTTGTCCATTCTTTTTATGAACTGCATTTATGCACTGCATCAACATTAATTTTAGCAAGCCTTTAAGTGCAGCTAATACTACATCAACTCATCAACATCAAAATACTACATCAACATCAACAAGCCCATTGTCTTCCCAACCAAGTTGGTGTCTGGGCCATCAAGTGTACGCAGCCTTACAGCTGGAATTATCCAAAAAGGTTCTTTCCGTTATGAAACAAGATACATTGACTCATTTGATGCATTGATCTCCAGCAACTTCACTAACAGGCGAAGCATTGGAAATTATTTGAGCAATGTTGATCTAGTCCATTATATGCACAGAGATAAAAGAATGGTCAACGATAACTCTTCCAGCTCCATTTGCAATAGGCATATCCTCCATTGACGATTACACAACATTCAGAACAACACATGAAGAGCGAGCACCACCCAAGACTAAAATGCAAAAAAAAAAAAAACACCAAAGCCTCTAATAAATCCTCTCAATCATATTATTGTTGCCTAGAAAAAATTATTCATTCACTTCAGTAATTCTTGATAAAGAAACTACCAGAAGATATGAAACAGAAGTCAACATTAACAGGCTGCAAAACAACACATCCTAAAGTGGTGACAGGACAATCGGACATCCATCCTACCCAATTCACCTTTATCATAGTAATTACACCAATGAATTTTTCATTCAACTATGATTCTGCATTGTAAACAACATTAAAAAATTATTCATGTACACTGATTAACCTAAGTAATCAAATGTGTTAACAATCCAAATCATCATGCATTTTCAGACAAGGGAAAGGTAAATTTGTTAAATAGTAAGAAAGATAGTCATTAAAATCACGTAATCGATGCTTCTGATAATTTAGACAACACTTGAACCATACAAAACCAACCACAACTAACAACGCCTGGATGGAAGGATCTTAAACATTTCAATTCCTATATTATACAAAAGGCTAAGACTTGCAAGGCAACAGAACTGCTGGCTGGCAGCACATCACATGGAAATACACCCACAACGAGGAAGTGTGCAAGGGCGATGTGGAAGTTAAGGGGGTCCACAGCAAGGAAGTTGGCAACGCACACCAGCTGCTTTGTCCTTTCGATATTGTGCATCAAGTACAGATTTCCGTTCACAGAGGAGAACCTTATTACGAGAAGGTTCATAAAATACACAGACATACTGTGCTTGAAAGGTTTCAATGGTGGAATCATCACCAAGCTGAGCTGCCTCGAATGTGAGATAGTAGTTAAAAAGGCGACCACGAGTGGCATACTTAATCTTTTCAAGCTTGTATGCTGGTTCCTACAAAGGGACATCAAACGTAATTAACTAGCAAGAAGAAAAAATATATTCAGTTAAGAACTATCATCATCATAGCCACCGTTAGCAAACAAACAAATTAACTGCTAAGAGGTCGAAGCCATAAATGTGATCGTCAGGTCAATGCTTTCGTCAGGCCAAGTAGTTTAAGTAAATAGAGGAGATTGGTTACCTGAGGATGGTTTTGGTTGAATTCTGCAATGCATTTCTCGCACATCATTCGAATGTCAGCTTTTCTTTTCTTGTCCTTGGGAGCATCTTCTTCCTTTTCGAAATCCAAATTCAAAGGAACGATTGTTGCATTGACGCAAGCACCCGGAAAACAAGTCACCATATAACCCTTGTACAGAAAGAAAGAATAGACAGAAAACTTAATTCAGGTAAGCAAAATAAAACCTAAACGAAGTACGAACAAATTAAGTGGTGGAATCGGGGGGAGGGGGAATTGGAGGCGGAATTGATGATAAAACTGACCCGAGTCCGGTGGATCTCTTTCAGGTACCGACGCCACAGCCTTTTATTCATAGCCTTCACACCGGCAGGGCAATAGCGAAATCCATCGCCACTCCGCCCCCAAATCCTTCTTCCGTTTTGTCCGTATTCCCCCTTAATCAACCTCTCCATTTCCTTATTCTGCCGCTCCTCCTCCCGCTTCCGCGCTTCCAACCTCTTTTGCTTCTCCTTCTTATCCTCCGCCTCCACCATCGCTGATATCTCTCTGTACAGTGACACCCGTCCCTCGTATCTCTGCGCTTTGCTTACTTGTTGTTGGTCGACCTCGCCTCCCTCCGCCAACATGATTCTCGGCGATTTCCTCTTTGGATTTTGCATATTTAGAGAATAGAGAAGAGAAACCCTCGAAAAATGAAGGAGACGTCAGAATTTGTGTATGAGGGCGTTAATTATACACAGAGTGACAATCCTTGAGCTCTCAGTAAAATAATTACAGATTTGGTCCTTTTAGTTCCTTCAATTTCTGTTTACTACAAGAAAAGCAATTTAATTTAAAGTTATTACTATTATCAAGTCAAATTGAAATTGATGCATGGGTACTCAAGTTGATTTTCTTACTGATCTTACTATTTTCAACTCTGATTGGTCAACTTCTGAAAAATCAACCAGATATATCAACATTTTACGTGAACTATACACATTAGGAATTCATTGAAGCAAGGTTCGGATTATAAAAAGAAGAAGACCGAAGCTAGAATGTAATGTATGTGTATTTTTATTTACAAATTTTAATGGTTTAATACAGAGTTCGACAAAATTTTGGTGTCGAACGAGAGGAAAAAGTGTCAAATTAGTTCTCAACTGTCAGCCCAACTTCAATTGCATCTTCATATATATTTAGAGTGTCAATTTTAGCCCTACAACAACAAGGATCTTTACGACAAAATGGAGTCAGCTCTAGGTTTCATATATCGCCAGCGTGCTCGATCTTTACATAGATCATCTCACAAGTTTAAACATTTCAAATTATTTTTAATAGTCAAGTTTTCTTAGGTCTACCTCTGGTACCCCTCTTAATTTGAATTTTTGATTCCGCGATTTATTCCCTCATAATTGGGATCTCTACCGATCTCTTACGCATATGCCTGAAACACATTAAGCGATTTTTTCTCATTTTCTCATCTATTAGAATTACCCCTACTTTCTTCCTAATACATTCATTTTTAATTCGATATAACATAATATTTCCACACATCCATCTTAAACATTTGCATTTCCGCTACTCGTATCCCCTTAGTCTGGTGCTCATGATGCGTTATGGAACCTCTATCTTATTGAGAGACCAAACAGGGGATAGCTAGTGGCATAGAAGCCGACTTGGTATTAGTGGCTTTGTGCCGCACTGGAGTAACCTAACACTAGGATCCGTAAAGCATGATTGTCGGAGATCTTTGACCAATTCAATAACTGAAATTCGTTAATTAGATTACAGAAGGATGAATTTGTCTGAATTACGACACATCAAGATGAAATTGATTCTCTCTTAATATATCAGCATGAAACTGAAATCGAATTGAAAGTTGAGCACTAATTTGATACTTTTCTAAGAGAAAGCGGTCATTTTGATGCTTCTGAAACTAAACAAGAAGAAAAATGGCAAAATCCCGACTTCTTTTCTGTTAAGGCCAAATGCTTGGTGACCGAAACAGAGTGTCATGTCTTTTAAAGGGAATCAAAAAAATAGAAAATAATTTTATTGATATAAATTTCCAAAAAAAAAGAAAAAGAAAAGCATCAATAAGCACAAATTTGACTAAATCTTCGCAAATAATATTAATAATAACAAAAATAATGATAAATTATTGTTATCATTCCATTTAGGGTAATTATTAATTTATTATCATATTGTCAGAACCTATGAAATAAATATACAAGAGATTTTCTAAAACTATTATCTTATTATTCTATCTATTTCATCCACTTTTTGTACCGACCCAAGTTGAGACGTGAAAAAAAACTATCATTACTCCAAATTATCAATTCGTAGACAATTAATTTAGTGAAAGTTTATATTAATGTAATATATCTCACAAATGACCAAATACTTAACTAACTAAAAAAAACTTGATTCTTTTTGTCACACTCACTCTTGTAAATTTTAGTGAGGACAACTCTGTTTTATGTCAAAAAAATGGGGGGAAAGTTTTGATTGAGAGGTTAACCAAAATAAAAAAAAAAAAAACACTCCAATGAGTAGGTGAAGTAAATAATCAAATGCGATTTCCATCAAAGCAAACGCATGTAAAAATTGAATTCTAACATATTTTTATCCAATGAAACTTCTTTTCTCACAAACCAACGCTTAGAAAGCCTTAAATGCAGAGTTGCAGACGGCTCCTAGATACACTCATACACAAACCTTATCCATTCGAAGAGCAAACGAGCTAATTACACTCCCTTTTTTAAATCCAAAACACGTGGAAAGGAATAATGTTTTGGGGCCAGGACCTGGAAAAGAAGTCACTCTGTAACCCTGTTAACAACCCCAATTTATCAAATCATACACACGAAATATATAGGAAAGCCGAAAGAACATAACGTAATTTTGGGGGAAATGAAAAAAGCCCTAAATCAATTGGGAGGAAATTAATTGAAACGAACCTAACCCGACTGTCGTGGATCTGCTCATAGAATCGACGCCATAGCTTTGGATTACGCACAACCCCAGACCCACAGAAAACACTCTTATTCAAATAATGCTTCTTCCGCCGCTCCTCCGCCTTCTTCCTCCGCTCCTCCGCCTTCTTCTTTTTGACTTCTCATCCTCCTCCACCATCGCCGATATGATTTTTATACACCGATGAGACATTATTGAGTTTCCGTGCCCTGGTTACTGGTTGGGCATCGGGCTCGCCAGTGCATCCGTATTCCTCCTCCGCGGCAGCCACTGTTCCTTTCTTCGTCATAGTTCTCGGTGATTTTCTGATTGGATTCGACATTTCTACGAAATTGAGCTTGATAAAGAATTAGCCGTTTTTATAAATGGTTTTTATATAGTTAATGGAGGAGACCCAATTAATTTGTACTTGTAAAGATTTGAAATGAAGAGTGACTTAGAGTGTAAATAAGTTAGGATGTGGTGATATTTTTGCAATTTCAATGAATTTGGTCAATTTGATGTTTATGAAATCCCATGTGTCATATTCCAAACAAGTATAGGAAAAAAATTTGACAACGCAAAAAATGTATTGCCAGATAAAACTTCCGACGAAACTTTAACAACGGGAGACTAAAAATTAACGGTTGCCGATGAAGTTATGATCGGTTCGGAAGGTATATCTAATCACGTAAGTATAACCTAGATTTCATTTGCTTTTTTGGTTCTCTTGAATAAATGGAACTTCTTATAGTTTTCATTTGCTGGGAAGATTTTGGTATGGGATGCCGATGACGTTATGATCAATTCGGAAGATATATTTAATCACGAAAGTATAGCCTAGATTTCATTTGTTGTTTGGTTCACATGAATTAAATTAAACTTCTTACAGTTTTCATTTGTTGGAAGATTTTGGTATGGGTGCAATGTGAAATCTTCATTTGCCGGGGAGATGTTTGATATGAGTCCCCAGTGAAATGTCCAATATTTATTCAACTTGAAATTAATATTTACCATTCTTTTTGTCATATGAAATCTCCAAAACTTATTTGGTACGTGTCTAAGATCTTATGATTTCTTTTAGACATACTATTAAATTGAAGATTTTGCATTTGACTGTTGCAAATTTTAAATATAATAAACTACTCTCTCAAAATAGATAATTTCATATGTTTATCAATTTTTCATGTGATATGAATTCCGAAAAAAATGCGTATACATATCAATGCTAAATACATGATTATTGTATTAAGAGATTTTTTTTTTTGGTTTCAACAAAAGTTGTTGTAAATAGATTAATCCAATTGCAACCGCAATAGTAGAATATGATTTCACAAAGTTTAGAATTTTCTTTTCATAGGTTTTGACTTTTGAGTAACAAACATTTTTTAATTGGTAATGTGTTGAGACCAAAAGGGAACAATTCGAAAACTAAAAGGACTGTAATATGATTTTTTTAACATCTGGGGATTCAACGGCAAACTACCAATATACTGTTCGTTATAGCTGGAAGAAGAAAGAGAAAACACAGGAAAGAATAAGGATGGCAAAAATGGATTCTTGGAGTCTCTGAAGCAGACTATCTTCGTCTGAGAAGCTTGAAAATGGCTAGTGTCTTTCTATTTATTTAATAAGTGTCCCAATAAATGTAATAATGTATAGGAAAAGTTGGATTTTGAAGAAAATTGAAGATGAAGAATGTGATGTTTTTGTTACTCTTAAATCAGGCATTATTAATCACACATCAAAGGTCTCAACGCTTATGATAGTACAAGAAGTTCATCGATGACTATGGTTACTTTATTGTAATCTTTCTATTTTTTTTCATCCCTATGTACCTCATCACATTGTGGTTTCTTCTACTGTATATAGAATTTTGACCATCAATATTTAATGGGGAATTCATGAAAACCTGGGAAGAATTTTGATTTATGACAAGGGCTTTGTGATAATGTAGAGAACCAAGTCTTAGAGTTTTCTTAGGAAACTCTGAACCTACAACTTTTCTTTGTGTTGGCTTTGGGGTGTCCCCTTTTGAATTTTATTTAAGCCTATATGGCTGTACTTCTAGTTATTAAAGTTGATATTATTCAAATTTGATAGTGTGGAGATTGTATTTGTTGTTTTTCTTGAAATTGCTGGGGTGTTCCCACTCTTTTCAAATTTATTCTTCGTAGGGTGAGTATGTGTCTGTAGGTTTGTATAATTGCAGCCAGTGTTCTTCTTTTTGATAGTTGCATGTCGTTCTTTTCCGCTCGAAATTGTTGTTCTTGATTAATTGATGGGACACTAGGACACCACATATAGTGAGCTTTTTATCTGTTGGTTCCTTTATCCTGTATAATTTTGAGTGAAGAACAATCTCCTTCGTTAAAGTGGGAAAGGAGGCTACATTCGCCCAAATATTTTATGATTCCATTTCCTTGAGCTCCTTGTGTGATTGAATTGTTCTGGCTTGACCTTTTGGTTTGGTATTCTTTAATAAAGATCAGTGAAACACTATAATCACTCAAACTACATGTTCATTCTTGGTGGACTCTGACTAAAGTGTTATTCTCAACAATGTGTTCGTGTCGATTGGTATATGACTACATGTTCTCATTGATCGGGATACACGTATAGGGGATTATAGTTATGCAAAGGATATTTCTTTGACTTGAGACATAATAAAAGGTGATCATTTTATTCCTTCTTGTACATTAAGAATAAGTTACATTATTCCTATCTGAGGCACAAAATTATACTCTCACTTTTCCACTTTTGTGTAC